GTCCTTAAGTCTTCAGATCTCTCATACATTTACACTAAAATCGTCCAAGATCCATGTACATATCAGTCGGTTTGAGGTAGAAGAATATCCTGTACGGTAAGTGCGCGACTTCGAATCAACACAACAGTGTTTAAACTGTCTAAATCACCAGAAAAAAACGCTGAATCGCTTGTCAATTTTCTTCCTGAAGAACCTAAACATTGCAAATAATTGCCTAGTACATAAACCGCCATTTTGTTTTCCAGCTTTGAGTCGGAAATTATTGAATGAAGAAACTCTCTCACGAAGCCTTCTTGAACCGCCATTTTACTGAATATCAACTCCCAGTGCCTTCTGGGATTGTACACAGGGTTTCCAACCATTTTTAAGTTCAAATGTTTGTCTTTATGCTTTTTTACCGTGTAAAATTCGAAAAATTAGGCGAATTTTGTGTTTCTCGACATTATGGGTCCATTTATAGAAAGGAACTTTCTAATTCTGCTATTCTGAAATATAAATCGCAATAATAACGCAATTGTACAACGAAAATGAAATGTTTTGATCAAATCTTTTGTATTTAACGTATAAAAATCGTCAATATCTGAGCCGAAGAAAACCGCTGGTCAATGACCCAAATTTCTGGCAATGCTTAGGTCGACAAATAATAAAAAATCCTCTTAGACATATCATATCCTTTTCTTAGGATTTGTATGCGTGATCATGTGACGTCTAGATTTCCCCATTATATTTATCCAGTTATTCGCAATCCATTTTTCTCCACGTATGAYGTCACATCCGCCATGGTACGTCATATCATCGAGGTCCCCGACCCATCCTTTTTTAGGGTCCAGATGGTGGTTGTACCACATGACTGCAGTGCCTTTCTTTGGAGGGATGTAAAGATTGGCTTCATGGCAATGTTTGCTGAGATCACAGCGGAATTTAGTCCAAACAGTCCAGTCCTAAAGAAAACACCAAACATTAAAATATATATAACGATGTTTAAAATATAACATGTTTACATGATATAGGTGGTCCCCAATGTTTATGTTTTTAAAAGCTATTTGCAAGTCAGAAATCGAGTTTCAAGCCACAAGAAAATCAAGCCCGGAAATGACAAGAACTCATACCTGTGAGCAATTCCTGAMAATTTGAAGGCAATTGGTTTAAAATTTCATAGTGTGAGACAGGAGTAAACCCAATATGTGAAGTCTTCAACACACAGTTACGCCAAGAAACTATATTTTAAAAAAAGCTAATTTCGTCTAATCAATAGACCTTCTCAATTTCTTATGATTTAAAATTCTTCTCTTCAAATTGCTTATTTTTTTTTT